AATCCATGTGCCTGATTTTACCGCCGTGTTTGAGAAAGGGAAATCGTCGAAAACAGTTAAAATCGAGAGAAAAAAACGGAAGAAAATTTTCAGGTTACGGTATTCTACCGGGACAAAAAATCGAAGCTGAAGGTCTCACAACGTCAACTACCGTAATCTGAAAAAAAGTTCTGAAATTTAGCAGAATTCGAAAGAAGTCAGTTTTACGGCATTTTTTTCGAAACACATGGACACATTTTCCGACTTTTTTCGAGAAAAAATAACAGAAAGTTCGATGATAAGCAGTGAAAATGAATAAAAATTGATTAAGGTAACTGTAGTTTTCGTTGTGGGACCGTAGGGCGTTTTCCTTCCATAACCTGCGAATTTTAAACTTAAAAATTGTTCGCATGACATAATTAAATTTTCTATTTTAACGATTTTTAAGATTTCTTCGAAAAATGAGTTTCTTCGAATTCCGCCTATTACAGTTCTTCCTATGACATAATTTTACTTTTTCAAACTTTTGTTTATTTTTTACACGACCCACTTCTCCTCTGTCCTGCACCAAGTTCAACTCGATTAAATGGAAGTTTCTAGAGAAAGATAGAACAGCAACATTAAAAAAATACTGATGGGGAATTATTATTTATATTATTGTTATGCTGAAAAATGAGTGGCGACTGGAAAGAGAAAAACAGTAGTAGGAAAGCAGAGAGAAAAATAAGACATACATCGGAAGCATTGGAAAAAAATTGTACAAAATGGGAAGAAAAAGATGCGGAACGACGACGGGGAAACCCGAGAGGAAGCGGCGAAAAATCAGAAGCAAGAAAAATTCAGAATTTATTATGTTATCACTTGAGCAGGAATCTTTCCGTGAACGTCGTCCTTCGCTGGGTTTCCCTCTAGTGGATCGGGCACGCCGGCGTCCTCCTTCAGCTGATCGATCAGCTCGCGTGCCGGTTTGAACACTTTGCCAGGCCGGAATGTCAGTTTTCGGGAGATGAGACCCATCTGAAAAAAAGATAAATTTGAATTTCAGGCATCTCGAAAGATCTTTTTTATCGCAAAATTTGCTACCGCTTCCGACCGCTACGCCGACACGCGACGCGTTCAAACTAGGCTTGATGGCAAGCTGCATCTGCCAACTTACATCACTGATCGGATAGATGATATGCATGTGAAGGTGATGAACGGAGAGCAGTGGTGGCAGGTGGAATCCGATGCGAAGCATGTCTTCGACAGTGTCCGCCTCGCCCTCCTTCTTCAGCTGCTCGCGAAGCAGCTCTCGTCCTGTTCTCTCCATTTCTTCCACTGAAAAATTCAAAATCCACGTGGCAAAAACCTAAAACCCACGAAGCGGCACATCGGCGACTGTAAGATCGGTCGGTTTCGAAATATGCTGCTTGCTGAGAACCAGGAAGTGATGCTTGGCTTTTGGCTTGATGTCGTTGATGACAACGACCTAAAAAATGTAGAATTTGAAAAATAGTTTTTTTAGCGAAAAAAATTCGCCTCACCATATTCTTTTCCTTCAACTGCAACTCCTTCTTATTCTTGACAATATCGCAGAACTTGCAACCGTTCACTGTTGTGAGCATTGAAGTCATCCTGAAGAAAAATCAAAATTTAGCGCGAATTCGAATTTTTCGGGTGAAACCAAAAATTGAGCCAGAAGAGTGCGAAAACAGAGAATACGAATAGAAGAATGTAGGCGGCGACGTCGACAACAATGAACGTCATAACGATGAGTGAGAGACAATGGAATGATAAGAGAATTGGGAAAATTGGTGTTATCGGAAAAAATGTATCTTTAGAGAATAGACACTTTCATTGCGTAGTTACGAAACGAACTGACCACAAATTAAATTTTTTCCGAATTTTTTTTCGATTTTCACTGCAAAATAAATCCGGAAAAAAAATTAGGTTACGGTAGTTGTCGTTGTGGGACCTTCCGAGCAAATAGCGAATAATGGCGAATAAAATTGCTCCGTTATTTAGTCTTTAGTTTTTTGAAACTCTGAACATTTGTCACCTTCCGAACAATACGCGTCTCTGTGTTTTTTCTGTTTACCGAACAGGTTAGAATGCGAAAAAAGGGAATCGGGTTGTGGGTGCGAATTCAATAGAAACAAGGAAGTAGCTTGAATAGATTTTAAATATTTTCAGAAACGATTTTTCTGGGATTTTGAGCGAAAAAATCGGTTTATTTAGCGAAAAAAAAAATGCAAAATTACTGTATTTAAAGAGGGAATCCGACCAAAAATTTTTTTGTATTAAAATGTTTCAAAAGTTATCTATTTTTCGAATATTATTGCGAAAAAATTCGAAAGAAATCCGAAATCCCCGAAAAACGCCGTTGAAAATGAAAAAAATTCAAAAAAGGTGCCGCCGAGGGACGAGGATTTGAATTCCCGCGCAATGAGAAACCTAGGCCACGGCGCCTGATAGCATTATTTTCAAGTGGCCGACAGTGTTTTTTAACGTTTTTTACCTGTCGGAGATAAAATCGAAAAAAATCCGGAAAAATGGTCCGGTAAGAAAGTCGCGCCGCACGCGTGGCCTAGGTTTCTCACTGAAAATCCTCGTCCCTCGGCGGTACCTTTTTTTGAATTTTCTCCTTTTCAACGGCGTTTTTCGGGGATTTCGGATTTTTGAAAAAAATTTTCGCAATAATATTAGGAAAATAGATAACTTTTGACACATTTTAATGCAATAAAAAATTTGACCGGGGTCCCCCTTTAACCGATTTTTCGTAGTTTTCGCTGTCTTTTTTGGTCCAAAAAGAACCTATTTATCGAAAAATATATCGAAGCTTGAAAACCGGAAACCTTATGACAACTTCCGATGAAAAAAAGGAGTAAGAAAAGGGTTGTTAGTTCAGTCAAAGTGTACGAAAAATTCCGCCAAGTTAAAAAAGAATACGAAACGAGTTTCGGGCAAAGTTCGTTCTTTTCGGAAATACCTGTCATTTAGACAACAGGACACACTGGTTTAAATTTGAAATTTTCAATTGTTCATTTAGAATTCTAGAATTTTTCGGGTCTAAAAAGTAGTTGAGGAAAAAAAAGAAAAATTTTCTGGGGGATGAAAACGGACGGAGATTAAAATGGAGACGAAAAAAGGAGGGGAGAGTAGTAAACAGGAGAGAGGCGCAGCGTCCAAATAGAAATGAGAAGAACGGGTGCGAGAAGGAGAGAGAGAGAGAGAGAGAAAAGAAGGACAAAACAATTTGTGATGAGATAGAAACACACTGCAGACAAAACAACGACTTCTCTCTCTCTCTCTCTCTCTCTCTCTCTCTCTCTCTCTCTCTCTCTCTCATGTGACACATATGATGATTGTGATGCATGGTCTCTTATCCGAGAGACCATGATAGGGAGCAGTTTTTAAAGTCAGATGGGTACTCTGTGTTGTTGTGGCCCAACTTGTTTGCGTTTATATTCTTGTCACGTTTGGAACCTAAAATAGAGTTGGGAAAGAAGGAATTTCGGGAAAATGTGAAGTCTCAATTTTCAGGTATTGAAAGTTTTTTTTTAAATACAGGTTCAAACATGGACAATCACTGGATATCCACAAAATAACAATGAATGATGCCACCTGAAAATCCAGAATGCATACCGTAACTTTGAGTCAATTTTTCTCGATTCCTAGAAAAGATATCAAAAAGTGATCAACTGATAAAATTTTGGTGATATTATGATAAACATTTTATCAGTTGAAAGATTTTTGATATCACTTACAGGGAGTGAGATTATTGAGCTCGAAGTGCACGCATAGAGCGCCACACAATACTGCACTCTGAGATCAATTACCTCGGTTCCTATAAGAGCTATCAAAGTTTTGTCAACTAATGAAATGTTGCTGATAATATGATAAGCATTTTATCAGTTGACAAAATTTAGATATTTCTATTAAGAGCCGAGGCTCAAAGTTGGCTCAAATTGGCTCAAAGTTGACGGTTGGGACATTCTGTTACAATGTTTACGGTAGCTTGTCACATGAAATTTCAGCCGTTTATATGGATCTACATGGAGCTTTCTATAAACCTGAAAACTTTTTTCAGCTATCGATTTTCAGCCTTCCCAGGATTTCTGATCTACTTTGGAGGAAGTGTTTCCGATCTATTGAAATACAACGTCAGAAAAAAAAAACAACAAAATCTTTAAAAACACTTTTGGGAAGGAACAGAAAAACTGTAGAATCACAATATAAAAACGAAGATGTATAACAGCTTCCTGGATTCTAAAAAGCACGTATCCTCTCCTTGGATACCGAAAATTACGGTGTTTTGTTCTCTTTTTTCTCCCTGGACTCTTTTGAATTTTAAAGAGAAACCTGGATTTAAGAGTCATTCAATTTGGAGTCTAATTATCTCAATATCTATGAGAGATATCAAACGTCTGTTAACTACAAATTATTTGTCATAAAATTATCAGTATTTTATCAGTTGACAAAATTTAGATATTTTTCAAGGGAACCGAAATAATTGAACTGAAAGAATTACTGTAAACACCCCTCATCATCACTTTCGAATTTGAGCTCAATTCTTTTTTTCATTCTCAGGTTCTTTTTACAGATATCAAAATTTTGTTAACTGATAAAATTTTAGTGATATTATGACCAACATTTTGTCAGTTGACCACTTTTTGATACCTTTTACAGTAACCAAGATAAATCGGCTGAAAGTTGAAAGCTAGGGGTGTAACTCTATTAGAGGGATTACGGTAAGGGGCGTGGCCTATATTCAATACTTACCTTTTTTTCGTCGAGATCTTTTTGAATAGAATTGATGTCTGAACTTTCAAAAATCAACCAAATTTCCATATTGGTCTTCCATATTTCCATAACCAAATTTCCATATCCATTTCCACATTGTATTCCTATGTGTTGAATTTCAAAGAAACCGAAAACTATGATGTCGATCAGCTTGACTTCTTGATCTTCTTTTTTTTTCAAACTGAAATTTCAATGCAACAATAGAAAGTTCTAATTCTTAAAAAGCCCAGATTTCCAAGACTTCCTCCTCTTTCCCAAAAAATTATTTTTCCCAAAAAAACCATTTCAGATCTCCCCAATGAATAAATGGCCATATCTGATCATTGCCTATGTCGCTGTGGTGTTACTGGTATTTGATAGACTTCAATTCGCACCCATTTTCTCTACTACGATCTTGAAAGATCCTGTTGATGGCCTTGAAGAAGTTGATAGGACAAATTCATCTTACCTAATAGCCGGAAAAGATAGATTCCAATGGTACAAGGAGCAGTTATTCAATAGGACGAAGTTAACAGAGGTGAGTCGTGCCCAATTATCTTGGTTACTGTAAGAGATAGCAGTAGTCTGTCAACTAATAAAACATTGCTGATAATATGATAAACATTTTATCAGTTTACAAAATTTCGAAATCTCTTATAGCAACCGAGATAATTGAGCCCCGAATGATGGTCTTCTATTAGAACGGTTACGGTAGCTCCTAAATTCTTAATTTCAGTTAAAAAATGCTCCGAACATCAGCCTCTTGTATGCTTATGAGTTTGAACATGAAATCACTGTTACAGTAACCTCATGGGAGCGTCTTGGGTGAGTCTTTGCTTCAATAGAAGCCCACAAACAGGTTATCCAATTACCGTATTTGCTCTAATATAATAGAAGCCCACCCAATGCGAGCACTTCGAGCTCAGATATCTCGGTTCCAATTAGAGGAATCCAAAACCTGCCAACTGATAAAACATTAGTGATATTATGATGAACAATTTCCCAGTTGAACATTTTTTTTTTGAAGGAACCGAGATAATTGAGCTGAAAGTGCGCGGATCGGATTCTATTAGAATACAACAATCTCATAAATCCAAAAATTCCAGCTACCGCCTCTTCTGTCGTTATTTAGACGAGAACGACAAAGAAATTGGAGAGCCATTTGAAAGTTTCACATATCCAGAGTACATTGTAAACTGTCAAAAAAGAGAGGGTACCCGGAAAATTGGTTTGAGTGTCAATGAAACGGAAATCATGTTTGAAACAATTCCAATAATGGATAGGATGCTGAAAAGTGAGTTGTAGCTTTAAAGGGAGTTGCGGTATGCATTTTGAGCGCATTGCTTGCGTCACCGTAGCTCAGCCGGTAGAAGTGCGGCACCTCCAACAGTGGGCCCACAAGTTCGACTCCTCAAGGGGTGTGTATTCATGTCCCCATCTTTAAAAGGAGGTTTCAGAACCGAAATATGAGGTGTCCATGTGTGTGGCATCGATTTATGGGTTTGAACCAAAATGGTTGATGTTCATTGAGATGATTGAGCACTTCAAAATGCAGGTTTGTGAAATTTCTGATTACCGTATTTCCTCAACCTGAAATCCACTGTTAAAGGAGGACAGACAGCAAAAATTTTGGGGGACAGTTTGGGTGACGAAATCGCACCGTGCTTTTGTAGGCCATCGGTCGACAGGCGCTTTCGCGGCCCCGTAGCTCAGCCGGTAGCGGCGCTGTACCCTTGAGCTGTCCTGCATGAGTTCAACTCCTCATGGGGGTTCTCTAGGCAAAATATCAGGAAAACTTTTTTTTGGTGTCTGGCCTCCTTTAAAGGTGGTGTACGGTGAAATTTTTTATTGCATCAAAATGTGCAGAACTGCATGTAAATTGACTTAAAAATAAAGAGAAAATTCAAAAAAAAATTCCTTCATCGAGAAAACGCATCGAAAACTACGCTGAAAGCCCTTAGGGACGAGGTTTTTTTCTAGGCCGCCAGATGAGTAAAAGCGCGCAAATTCAAACTTTTAAAATTTTTTCGCTCGTTTTCACTTTTTTCGGTTTTTTCAAGAGTTTTCTAGGTTTTTGTCAATTTTTCTTCCAGATACATCGAAAAATTGAAAAAAAAACAGTGAAAACGAGCGAAGCAAATTTAAAAGTTTGAATTCGCG